TTCAAAAGCTGTATCTACATCATCCACACGCTTAAGATTTAAACTTTTATTTGCACGTACCTCTCCTCATCGTAATTCTGTTCTGCCATATCTAGCAAGTCTACTTATTGAAAAGGAGAAAAGTTCCACAGAATTGCGTAAATGTTTGCTTCATTGACAAACAATCTACTGCTTTCAGTTTCATTATGTAATGATTTTGTAAATTTGAATCCACAAACATGGTGCAAATGCTGAAAATTCATCTATCCGGGTGTATAAAGCTACAATTGACCTGACTTGACTTGAGAACAGTTGTAAAGTTTTAACAATACGCACCCTATGCACGGCAGCGGTTTGTTGGATTCCTAGTCACGGTCGTCTGGTTCCTACTCACATACAGTTTAGATGAGACACATCTAACTGCGATCTAGGCCAAAAGTAAATACACGTTTTATTCGACCAAAACGGTGTAGAGTGGTCGAAGTAAATCAGTACAAATCAATATCATCGACCTCATTGATGGCTCATTTCATCGTTGGGGAGAGAAAATCACCAACAAAACGGTCTACGCCACGCGAATTCACATCAAAGAAACAAAACTGTTCAAACGACTCCAGAAACATTAGTTTAAAGACATAAACAATGGCTCACCGCTTTGGCTTGAAGTTCTTCTGGAGTGCGCATAGCCAAGAGAATCATCGCCTGGCCCAACTTGGTAGCCCGATAATCATCCGGTTTCTTTACGGAACTCATATACTTTCGAGCGTGTCTATAAAAGGAGAAAAAGAATTGAGACAGAAAAAGTGGAGTCTTATCCCATATCATTCGACGGTACAAGTCTGGTCACCCGAGAGGAGGAGTGACGCTTTCTGCCATAATTGGTAGGTATCAGTGTCTATCTACTCCAAATTCAGGGTTCACAGCTAATGATCGAGTGAATGTTCTTTTTGCCTTATTTTCACATCGTTATCATGTCTTATACTTCGCCGACTCTCTTTCTGTGATGTCTGTCCTCTGGTTCTGATTGAATATCGGTTACACTACCGGAGAACTGCTAGAATGTAATACGTTCCATTTCTTCGTATATCCCCCATTCCATGGTCATAACCTTTCCAAAAGAACGACAGACGTTTTCTCTAAAGAATTCATTGCATTATTTTAAGTTCAGCTTGTACAAGCATTAACTATGCACTTTCATGTGCCGGTTTTCATTACTGTCTTTTGGCTGCCCATCTGGATGGAGTTGGAAAGTACAACCGAAGAGAAAACGTAAAATTTCAGTAGACTAAGGTTGAGAAGATACATAAACGCCATTGTTTACGGCACTCAGCCATATCACTCAGTGTCACTAATCATCGTTTACGACATCTACATTGCCTGTCCGGCTCCCCCACCAGATTCGTGCAATGCGAGGTGGACAATGGAGTTCGAACACCGACAGTTTATTTTGTCCTGTTCCCGTAATAAACGAGTCTCTGCAACGTAAAGCAGCACCGATGGAACTGCTGCAGCATACACTCAACCCTTCACTGACAGCCGGATGTCGCGATGGTGCCACAGATGTCTCAGGTTGGCAAATGCCAATCGAGCCTTCTATATCCGAGCTGGCACTTCATTTGTGATGCGTCCGCTAGGTGAGATATAGCTTCCCGAATAGCGAAAGTTGTCTACTTCCTCTACTATTTTCTCAATCTAGGTGAGGTTGGGAGCTAGACCAACCGAATCTTGTAGTAACATTTTACACTTTGAAGGTGCAAAAGGCATACTGAACATGGCTACGGTAACGCGCAAACTATCCAGAGAAGCTTGCAGCTGACCTGGATCTTCACCTGACAGCACAATACCGTATGCATACTTCAGATTAGACAGTCTACCGCCATCCTCGAA